CTCCCCTTGTTTAAAGGCTGACCCAAATGAAAGATTCATTTGCAATTCATATCAATCTACTTTCACCTTTGCATATACAAGTACACACGTCACCCACTCATAATAATACTAATCTATGTGGAGAAAAGAAAATAACCGACAACAACAATCGAATAATATCATTATCTTTTTCTTCGCCCATAAATCTCTCTCACTATGCTCATTTCTGTCTCTGTTTCTCCTCTTCCCTTCCCTAATGGAATTGGAAGACCCTTAAAAAAAAAGAACAACATTCTCTTTTCTGTGAAAGGGAACATCATGTAACATGTAACATGTAAGATGTAACATGTAACAGTCCCTTCCTACATTAGTGTTTGCAATTAATTAACAACTACTTTGTGATACTTCTTTTTCAAAAAATTAAAAAAGAAAAGGGAAAAGACAAGAAAGCAAGAGAGAAACTTGCATACTTGATGGAAAATTTTAAACTATGCTTTCACAGAGGGTGTTGAACCAAATTGATGAAAAGGGCACTATCTTAAATTGGACCTGGTGTGTGCATTTCTGGACACATATGATGCATGCATGATGTAAGCCAAAGGAACAAACAAAGCATGTGCTCCATTTAGTTAAATACTTTTCCCCTACAGCTAAGAAATTACAACTTAGCTACAATACTGTATGATTATAAATAGTAGTTTCTGTAATCTTAGTGTCTCACTACTTTTAAAAAAACGAATACATGATACTGAATTCGTGATCTGTGAGATTGAAATGAAATGCTTGTGCTTAACTCGTGCTCTTTTATTTTTTTTCCGTGTTCTAAATTCTAATTAAGTTGTAGGCGTAGGACCTCAACCAGAAAGAAAAGGGCAATTATTTTTGTGCAAAAAGCAGAGACAATCTTAATTATAGATTAATTTTCAAACAAAACTTGATTGATTCGAAAAAAGGAAATCTTTCCTTAGTCCACACAGAATATAATATAATAGGGGCATATACATTTTCCTCTTGTGAATTTTAAAATGAAAGCAAATATTCTCATGAAACTCACAATCCAATCCAATAATTCCCATGTGGTTTATAGATATTATATTTTGTATGATCGTACCATTACTGTTTCCTAAGAATAAGAGAATGACACTTATTCCTCACGTCCACTGATCCTGATGATCAGTGAAAACCAGAATAAACGTACCCACTGAAAAAGAATATAAAGATATTAATACATATGAAATAAAAGTAACTGGCATGAGGTTGCAAATATAGCTATATAATACATGTCTTTTGAGCATGTGATACCTAAGATTGTGATCGATAAAAGAATATATGAGCAGTTGACAAAAGTCAGTTCATTTATCCCATGAATTATTCTGAGATAAAGTTTATTGAATTTAACCAGAAGCCGCCCATATAAAATAAAAATACAGATTAGTCAGGTATATATACTTATAATAGTAAATTATTAAAAGTTAACAACCATTGGAATTTTAGGATCCTGGTTGATATGACAGACTTAGATTAGGCAGCATGTAATAAGTGGGGTCCTCTCTTTCATTGCATCTGATCTTCTTCCAACTTTTAGGTTATCCATTTGTCAAAAACTTTAATTATATCGTAATTATGAAATCCAATTAAAGTAGATTATGGTGATAATAAATTCAGAAGTTTTGTTACAGAAAAAAATGCATGTATTTCAGAGATTGAAAAAGAAAACATTCAAGGTGTCAAAAAAAAAAGTGTTAAGAGTAAAACAGAAACATTCAATGCCACTTTGATTTTCTTTTTAATGCATGTTGACCATTATTAAAATTTTATTATTTTTATAAGGGAAAATAATGTACTATATTTTTTGTGAGTGAAGGGAATTGTATATGCATTTACGGTGTGAAACTTCCATCAATTAATAAAAATCGTTATTATGATAATTAGTAGAATTTTAAAATAACTATTTTAAAAATTAGATCTCATATAACTTATTATTAGTTGGTAATGTAAATTTTTTTCACCAACACAAAATTAATTTTGTTTCTATAAATATAAGCGTGAAGCTTGATTCACATAATATATTAAGTAAAATAAGATTTAATTACCATGAAGTGTTGTATTGAAATAATTTATGTAATAATAATTTTTAAAAATTGAATTCATTTAATAAATTATGGGATAATTTATATTCTAAAGTTTAAGTGTTTAATGAAGTTATTTCTTCCACCTTTTACCTTACATTTTTTTTAATAAAAAGATATAACTCTTTTTTATTGTGTCAACTTCTATATATGAAATACATTTTACCATATTTTAACTGTTCCATTGATTTATATAATTATAAAAAATTATAAAATTCATTTTTTTAATATTTTTTTTATAGACATAATTCATGTAATGCCTTAAAGTTGAAGTTTAAGAATTAATCTACACTCATAAAAATTCTAATTTAATCTCCTTATTCATATAACTATTAGAAATTAAATTAAGAAAACTTTATATTATCAGTAAAGTACATGCTATTATACTATAAAAATTCAGAAAAATTTATACTTTATCTTTTAAAATACAACATGGCATGTTACTTTAACATAAGTATGTTAGTTCATGCAAAAAGTAATTTATTTTACTCGCATGCATTAATTTTATCATTGTTTCTTTTTTATTTTAAAAAATTGTTTCTTACACTTTCACCAAAATATAAAGAACGCAATAGAATCAAAATATAAGTATATTTAAATAAAATAAGATTAGTTGTTATTATATCACAAAATTATAGTTAAAAAAGTGATATATATATATATATATATATATATATATATATATATATATAAAACTTAATGTCATGTATTATAACAATTCATGTACAACACTCAATTAACTGATCTAAATCTTTTAATAAAGTGGTGTATATGTAAAGTAATGTATATATGCATACATATTTATATTTTTATTTACTGTTCAATTCAATATTAAAAAAATGAAAAACAAAATTAATAGAAAAAAAAGGAGAAAAGAAAAAGAAAGAAGAAAAATTTTAATGGTAAAGGAGATAGTTTATAATTAAATTTTTAGAAAAAAGGAGGGGAAGAAGAAAAATATTTTCCGATTTAACTTTCATATACTTATACAATAAATTAATATTTTTATATTATAAGTTAAATAGATAAATTTAAATGTTATACATTTTTTAAGTAATTATTATAAAAGATGATACTTTTATTATACATAAAAAAAAGTATGATTAAATAAAAATTCTAAAATCTAAAGTTGACAGCAATGTGCATTTTTATTAAATTGAAGGTTTTAATGGTAAGAAATAGTGATGATGAATACAAAATTTATAGGTAATTGAGAAATTGTAAAGTTGATAATCACGCTTTGTCGAGAAGAAGAAGAAGAAAAAGGAAGAGAGGAAGGTGTGAATTGGAAGAAAGAGAAAGAAAGAAGAAGAGAGGATGAATGGTGAATGGTGAATGGTGATGGCCACTTTCATGCCTTTTGATCGCGTAGGGCCGACAACAAGGACGGATTCAGCCGTCTATTGCCCAACAACTCCCTCCTGTAAAAGCCTGTCCTCACTGTCCCCTTTCCCTTTCTTCTCCCTCTTACCACCTTCTAATGTCTTCAAAATATATTATTTTAAATTTCCCAATCTTTCTTTTACATATATATAAGTAATAAAATGGATGAGTTCTAATATTATTAGATACATGTAAGCAAGGTTTATTCAAAAGATTGTACTGTATGAAATTTATATTGTTAACTAATAACAAGTTGCGTTTTTATAATTTTTAAGATAACTATTTTAAAAAGTAATGGATTTATTATAATAATAATTTGTAATTAAATGATCATGTAAAATTATTTGTTTTAATTAGTTATGCTTTAGAAAAGATGAATTATTAGATAATTTTAAATCATCTTCAAACTCACATTCAATAAATTTTAATTTTAATTTATTAAAACCAGATAATATATATATATATATATATATATATATATATATATATACTTATTTTCTCTCTTAATC